TAATAACAAAGCATTAGTACAATAAGATTTCCATATGTTTTTTAGTACAACAGAGATAGTGTGAAGAATAAGTAAATATTACTTTACAGATACATTAACAAAAATAATAATAATATGCAATGAACTGAGTATGAAAAAAAATTAAACAATTGTTAAATGGTCAGTCTATGTTGGAAATTTGGCCCTTAAAATGCATATAAGTGGTTCTTGAAATTGCTTCTGTTTAATTTCCTCCTTAAATTAGCAAGAAGAGAGTCCCATAATCGACTAGCATTGACAAAGAACAGCCTTGATGTATGCTGTGATTTATGAACACGTTTTATAATATTACTTACTCTGGCGGACCGAGTAAACGATAACTTGGAAAAAAGATAGCCAGGAGATTGAGTCATAATGAGTTTGTAAGGAAAAATACAATTTCTGTGATCTTTTGTACCGCAGTACTTCAGCTGTGATTTTCCCTGAAGGCTGATTGAAACGGAGATTTTAAGTTGTGCTTAGCTAAAAGCATCTCAAAAACTTTAGACAATACATGGAGGATGCTTTTTGGTCGAAAGACAGACGGACTACAAGGATGGTTCTTTTTAGCGAAAGGTAGTACAGTGCAATTTTTCCATTGCTCTGGGAAACAAAACGTGGTAATACAATGATTAATAATGTACGTTAGTGTCCCAAGAATGCAAGGTATAGTTTTAATAAATTTAATGGGTTAGCCATCATGCCCTATTGCATTGGATGAGGTTTTAAATATACTCATTGCAACATCATATTCATTACCAGCTGAAAATAGAAAATAATCATCCCTAAAACAAAAGATCATTCCTGGATATAAAGTTAATAGTATCACTGTGAGGTACACAGTTTAGAAAAAAGGCATTATTAACTACATTTGATTCCAAGGAACATTTGACATTCTCCTTACAATGAACACCAAGTCGTTTAATGTTACGCCATAGAACCTTTGTTGAGAGACCAGAATTTAGTTTCTTGTTAAAATAAGCTCGTTTTTCATTTCTGATAACGTGTGCCGCTCTGTTTCGATCCGATTTAAGGGCATTCCAATTCTCCAAAGTGGGTAGGAAGAGATCGGTTGACTACAGAGAAAGAGCAACTGGATAGATTGTCAAGTAAATTATTAGTATAAGAGTCTTTGACAAGAAGAAGTTGAAAACATTAGTTCGGTGAGGATTATAAAAACAAGAAAACACAGTCCGGAATTTTTTCGGCTTACTTTTACAATTAAATATTCAATATCACTATCAGCAGATTTTGAAAGTAATTTCGTAAAATAGATGTCCCTGCAAAATATTGCAGGCCCACCCACCTTCTCTTCTTCCTGGTCTGTCATTACATATTAATTTGTAGTTTCTTATGTTAGTAGAATAGTAAATCCTCATCAAACCATGTTTCAGAAACACCGATGACATCAACTGATGAAAACTCAAATGAATTTCGAACATAATCCATTTTATCGGAACTTAGACTCCGCGCATTGAAGTGGACTATGTTGAATCCACTGTTTTGTTTACAAAGCACATCAATCATAAAGCTTCATATATATAATATTATATATGTATGTTATTTGGTCCAACTTCGATGAAAGGAAAGTTTTTATTCAAATTATATATTCGAGTACACAATCGCGTATTCAATTGAGTATACAAGTTATTAAAACAAATTTTTTATTTAATTATTAAAAGAGAGGACTATGTCCTCTATGTCTTTATTTGATTTGTTTTAATATTAGCACTAGAAGACTATGTCTTCTTTCTCTGGGTGCGAGTTTACAACTGAATTTAAAATTAACTTAAAATTAACTTAAAATTACCTGAGCCATGATCATCACATTGAGTGCAACGTGATCAAGTGTAGTTGCATTCAATGCAGACAGTGCGTCAGCTTTTTTTCGACGCGCGTGTGAAAAGAAAAAGAAATAAAAGAATGAAATTGGATAGAAGACCGGAAATGTGCGCAAGCATTATAATTGTTGCGAAAGAAATGAATTTAATGCAAAATATTCCACGAAAACATTTTTGGTGTTAACTTACACAAGCAAAAATGTAGACATGTGGGCGCCGTGGCGTCCTTTGTCTGAGCAAAAATTATACTAATGAAAAAATCTAAAAATGTACATACACGTATGTGTGTATTGCGTGCACTACAACAAGTAATCATAGCGAAAAAAATCATTTTAATATAAATTTTGTAATAGTTCTTCAACTGCAAACCAATATCGAACCATTGCAAATTACAATTAACACAAGGGGCTTTTATATTCTTTATAACAAAAATATCTTAATATATAAAAAAAACCGTGTCCGTGTGCGTAATCGCAAATTAATCAAAAACGAGTCAACTTATATTCTTGAAGGTTGACAAATAGATATATTAATGTTATTTGTTCCAACATAGATTATCAGATATTTAAAGTTAATAAAAAACTGGTCATCAACGTTGATAAGGGAGAATTTCTTTACAGAGGTTTGTAAAACATTGTCCTTTGCACCTCAAAAATGGTGCCACACCTTCTTAGACTATACACTATACATGTCTTATTTTACGTATAACACTTAAAATCACTCTTTTTAAATCATAAGCCGCCTCCGAACGGCTGATGGTTGTTTTCTGAGGAGCTTTATATCATGTTCGAATTACACTGGGATGTGTTCGCATTCCCTGCCGAGGGGCGACCGCAATTAGAAAATTTAGCTCAATTTTTTATTTAAATTAATTTTAAATAACATTCGAATGTTGGTCGCACGGGGATTCGAACCGGAGTCGAGTGCCAGTACGTAATGCTAACCCCTCGGCCACCGCGGCCGCCAATAAATTATAATGTCATATAATATAATATAATATAATATAGTATGAGTAACAGGACATACTCCTCCGAAACGGGTTGACTGATAAAATTTTGTACGTATATTCGTTAAGTCTGCGTGAAGCTTGTTATCTCTTTTTGAAATTGGGGAAAAGGGCCTGGGACTGATCTCTACGAAAAAATCTTTTTTATGATTCGAATTACTTGAAATTCTGTACAAAGGTGTATTTTTGCTTACCTCAACAGGAATACTACAATTCATTCCGGAAGGTAGAAGAAGATTCACTTAAAACTCGGAACATAGGTCGATTTTTGCTAAGATTAACTGGAAGACTCTTATTTTCGACCAGGGTCTGACCTATTCGAAAAAATCTAATTAATAGTTCGATATACTTGAAGTTCGGTAAAGACACCTTTTTGCTTATATTAAGTTAAAGACTCTTTTTCTCGTCGGAAAGGGGGCCAGGGACGGACTTATTAAAAAAAATTAATTTATAGATCGAATTACTTGATATTCGACACATATTAGTATTTTTTGCTTGGATTCACAGGAAGGCTCTTCTTATCTCCTCGAAAAGGACCAGCGGCGGGCTTATTCAAAAAAGCTTGTGGAAAAAAGTTACTGGAAATTCGGGGACCGCCGTATTCAAAAAAGTTTGTGGCTCGATTTATTTTGAGTTCTATTCATAGATGTATTTTTGCTTAAGTTAACATGAAGGCTAAACTTCTCCCCGAAAAGAGAACGAGGGGCTGACCTATTCAAAAAAAGTTTATTTATGGTTCGATTTACTTGAAATTTAATGCATAGGTGGGTTTTGGCTAAGATTAATAGAAAGACTGTTATGTCCTCTGGGAATAAGACAAGCGACTGACCTAACCGAAGAATGTGATTTTATTGCTCGATTGGCTTGTAATTCAGTACATACTGAGTTTAGATAGACAAGAAGGCTGCACTGCTCTCCAGAAAGTGGACCAGGGACAGACCTATTCAAAAAATCCGGACTTATGGTTCGTCTAACTTGTACGGTGGTGTACAAAAGTGGCCTTTTGCTAAGATTAACAGGCTTTCGAGCTCAAGGAGTACTGTTGTGCAATCTTTCTTGACGTAGCACAAATGTTCGACAAAGTCTGGCATAAAGCTTTACTGTACAAAATACATACAGCTCTGTCTGTTCAATTTTATATGATACTAACTCACAATTTGGCTTCAAACAATCTGAATTTATCAGTAAGGAGTATCCGATAAAAGCTGGTGTTCCACAGGGTAACGTCCTCGGGCCTATTTTATATATTGTATTATATACACTGCAGATATCCCATTAAACCGAAAAGTGCAGACATTTAATTTTGCGGACGACACAGCTATTTTATGCCGGGATAAATGCCCTAAAAGAGCAGCAAAAATGATTAGTGATCATTTACTCTTCATCGAAGAATGACTAGAAAACTGGAGAATTAAAGTTAATGGACAAAAGTGTAAACACGTCACATTTACTTTAAGAACGTCTTGCAATTCGCTTCAATGGTATAAACATTCCCCAGGTAAATGATGTTACATATCTCGGTGTACACTTAGGTAGACGTCTCACTTGGAAGAGACATATAGAGGCAAAAATACAATACTACACATGAAATTAAAAGCAGCTAATTTAAATTGGCTTTAAATAAAAACTCCGGTCTAAAACTAGACTACAGAGTCCTTATTTACAACGCAGTATTAAAACCAATTTAGGTGTACGGTATTCAACTGTGGGGTACGACCTGTGCAACTAATATTGATAAAATTCATAGGTTCCAGTCCAAAATTTTAAGAGCACTAAAGGGCGCACCACAGTACGTTCGTAATGCAAATATTCATAAGGCCTTTGGTATTTCGCTGGTTAAGCATGATTTATAAGATGAATGTGGCTTATTACAAAGAGACAACGGCTACACTGGCTAGGATATGTCGTCGGAATGGACACTAGGTATTTTAAACTGGCACTAAACAGCGAAGAGTAGGAGTACCTCGCTACTGAGCCTATTCCAAATAATAAGAGAAAAAAACCCAGACCAGACGTTGCTGTTTCTTTCTGCATTTAATCTATTGTAAAGTAGGAAAAATTCTGATTTTTAATAAATAAAATTATTTTTGTTAAGTTAATGATCGTTCTTCGTTTGAATATTGTAAGTAACTTACTTTGTAACCTTGAAGACTCTTAAGAGGCGAACGCATCGTAATACTGATACTCCAAGCGGTGGCATTATGCCCGTATTTGTCAGTATTGTTTCTGTTATACTACCAATAACTACGAAACAGTCGAAACGATTAAACAGCGATACAAAGTAGCCTTGGAATCCCAAACTGTACATTTTCAGTAGCATTTCACAAGTAAATAACCCAATGAAGAAAATATTTGTATACTCTGTAAGGAAAATTAAATAATGTACTGAAAAATTGCATACAGTATTCAAATAAATACCTTGAAAATTATCAAGCCAAAATGGTTGTTCATGATGTTCAGTAGCGAGAACACCGGTATTTAAAAACACTAGCATTATAATAAGCCAGTAAAAAGCTTGTGACTTTACAGCCTTTCGGCATGATCTTCTCATTCTGCGATTAAGGCGATCAAAATCTTTTTTTCCTTTACGCCACCACGATTCAGCTACTTGAACTTCCTGACTTTCATCTTCCAGTAGATCGAATGATTTTATCTCATTGGACTGTTTCGCTTTTCCGTCATGCATTAAGTTACCATCTGAATCTGGCTCAATATCTTCGGCCTGAGTAATCCAATCTAAATAGCCCCGCACATCCTCCTCGATTTGTTGTTTTTCTCTTAATTTTTGAAAATCACCACGATTTTTAGCCTTTGTGCGCTCTTTTGAAAATTCGCCGGAGAGCACACCGAGAATTAAGTTCATTACAAAAAAAGCACCTAATATAACCATTGAAACAAAGTATATCCATTGCCACGTGCTTCCCATTGCGTCTTGAATCTATTATAATAGAAATACAAAAATATCTACAATCAAAATGCATAATCCTAAATATGCAGATTAACTTACGTTATATAGAACGTCTGTCCAACCTTCTAGAGTAACACATTGAAAAACCGTCAACATAGCTAAGCCGAAGTTGTCGAAATTTGTGATTCCATGATTGGGACCGTCCCACTTTTCATAGCAAACATAACCAGTAGAACATTGGAACCCTGTTCCACAGGGATGCTCATCTTTCATACGTTCACCTATTTTCGTAAGAATTTGTTAGAAGATATTGCAATACAAACTATATGGTATATAAAAATAACAAACCAGTATCTGGACGGAGACATGTTTTATGCAGTTTTCCAGAAAACAGCTCTAACCCAATTATTGCGTAAATTATAATTACAAATAATACTAGCAAAGCAATATGCAATAATGGTATCATTGCCCGAAGGATTGAGTTCAAAACAACTTGCAAACCTGAAAGTAAATTAAGGTCAACATGTTATTTATTTATTTTATTTATTTATTTTAATTAATTACGTTTTATGTAAGAGTCAAAAATTTTTCGATAACAAAATGGTTTTAATATTTTACTATAATCTACAATTGTATTAGTACATAAAATATCAACCAAACCTTCTCTGGTCCTTCAGTCACGAGTTTGAAATCAACATTTAAATAAAAAAAATTAGCGTTGTTATAACATTAGGGCCACCTGTTCTTCGTCGCTGCTGTTTTTCGTGTGTGCATCGTATGGGAAAACTATGGTATTCACATAATTTTTTCTGCCAATTGCATTGTTATTGGCATCATTGGGAGTTCCGTGTATCTGTCATTGTCTCTTGCAGACTCAAAGCTCGTATGTGTTATGTTTGAAAAATTCTGAGCAGATTTACGTGTACGTGGCCGATGATCACAGTGAAATATATACATACTCTCATTTTTTCAATATGCAAAGATATATTCAGATAATCTTAAGATGGGACCATGTGTAAAAGCTCACGCAGGTGAGGAAAGACTGCCATTCACCTAAGAATGGCTATAATAGATACTTTTGAATATGGTTCCACCAGCTCACGACTTCCGGTATCAAACCAAGTATCTCTTGGGTAGCCGACAAGCCTCCGTTCGAAGGTGAATCCCATTCGGTTGGGCCTAGGGTTCGAGACCCATTACATGAAAAATAAATGCAATTAAATATCTAAATATGCCTCGAATGAGAGAACCCCTTTTGATGACGATTGCCGCAAATATCGTAAGGATCACGATTTGAGGGTATGCACCTAGAATGTAAAGTCCCTTAATTGAGAAGGTGTTGCTGTGCGGGAAAAGTACGAAAGCGAGTAGTTTCTTGTGATATTTATTACAGCGGCCGAATTAATATTGGGTTTAGTACTATATTCCAACTAAAGCTAATTTTTTGAGCTACTTGGTTCTACTTTGATCCCAAAACACGAAATCAGATCGATTATGTTATGATAGACGGAAGACATGTTTCCACTGTTCTTAGCATGCGTACAGTTCTAGGACCCAATATTATAGAAGTATCCTGTTGAAACAAAGGATACGCTCCCCCCTCTGTGTATCAAATAACGCTCATCAACAAACACGAAAATAGTTCGACTTCGAAAACAGCAATCAGAACAGAGTGCCGAGCGGTTTTCGACCACAATACGTGCGAGATGAAATAGATGCCGAGAACTGAAGAGGGAAGCAAGACACACCTGCAGACAAAAAAGGGGCGAGATGCGTGAAAACGAAAAGTCTGAGAATCTGGCCGACTAGAGTAATGCTCGAAAATTCTATGAAAAGATACGACGGCTGAATAGAGAAGGTACAGATTTCTATAAGAGTGAACAGCTGCTGGCGTATGGCGATGATATTGATATCATTGGCCTTAACAATCGCACCATTAGTTCTGCTTTCTCCATACTTGATCAAAAAAAAGCGAGGCGGATGGATCTGGTAGTGAGCGAGGACAACATGTAATATGCTCTGTCATCAAACAAGCAGTTATCAGCTTCTTGGTTATCACGTCAGTGTCATAGCTGATCTAGCCACCCATGCCCAGAGTATATTGAATTTGTGGAGTGAAAATGGAGAATCCAGGGATGGTTAACCGAAACCCCAATCGATGACGATGGAAAAGACGTTCCATTACCTGGCCATGAAGAAGTTCGAATAGCAACCGCCAGCTTAAAAAAAAAAAACAAAGCGACAAAAGCTGATGTCCTACCGGCAGAGCTATTCAAACATGGCGGTGAAGAGCTGACAAGGTGCGTGCATCAGCTACTTTGCAGAAGCATGCCCTCTGATTGAAATTTAAGTGTGCTCTGCCCAATCCACAAAAAAAGGGGGCACATAGTAAGCGCCAATTAACTTGAGATAAGCCTCCTTATTATCTAAGATCCTGTCGTATTGTGTGAAAGACTGAGGCCCACCCAAACTGATTGGACCTTATCAGTATGGCTACAGACCTGGTAAGTTAACCATTGACCAGATATTCGCCAAGCTCCAAATTTTGGAAAAGGCCCGTGAAAAGAGGATCGGCGCCTAACACCTCTTCGTCGACTATAAAGCCGCCTTCGACAGCACAGCTCCTATTCGTGCTTTTTCGCCGCTATGTCTGAATTTGGTATCCCCGCAAAACTTGTACGGCTGTGTACGCTAACGCTAGACAACATCAGAAGCGCAGTCAGAAGGGGGGTCCTCTCCGAACCGTTCGATATCAAAGGAGATTTCAGACACGGTGACTCTTTGTCGTGTGATTTCTTCACTGGCGTACGTCGATTATATTGACATTAACGGCCTCAACAACCACGCCGTAAGTTCTTAATTCGCCAGGCTTGGTACAGAAGCGAAGCGAATGGGTCTGGTAGTGAACGAGGACAAGACGAAATATCTCCTGTCATGAAAGAAACAATCTTTCGCGACTTAGCTCAAACGTCTCTGTTGACAGTCATAACTTTGAAGTCGTGGAGAATTCCGTTTATCGAGGAACCAGCGCAGAATTATTTTAGCCAACAGATGCTACTTTGGACTAAGTTGGCAATTGAAAAGTAAAGTCCTCTCCCGATGAACGAAAACCAAACTCTACAAGTCCCTCCCTACCGTCCTGCTATATGGTGCGGAAGTATGGAGGATCACAGCATCTGACGAGACGGCGTTAGGAGTTTTCGAGAGAAAAGTTTTGCGTATGATTTATGGTCCTCTGCACGTTGGCAATGGTGAATACCGCAGACGATGGAGCGATGAGCTGTACGAGTTATGCGTCGACATTGACTTATTTCAGCGAATCAAAAAGCAGCAGCTACGCTGGCTAGAACATGTGGTCCGGATGTATGCGAATACTCCAGCTTTGAAAATTTTCCATGCAGTTCCCGTCGGTAGAAGTAGAGGAAGAGGAAGACCTCCACTCCGTTCCAATATTTCCAATTGGCGCCAACAGCAAAGAGATGAAACAAATGGCGCAATGTTTTTAAATCGGCTATAAGCAGCATTTTGATTATTAGCTTTGCTGTCTTCTAACTACAATAGTATACTCTACGAGCACAGAGGCAAATATGAAAAACGAAGACGTGCAAATAACAAAGTAAAACAAGCATATACTGCGCAACTACAAATTTCAATTCGAACCGTTGAGCGACAAGACCATGTCCACTACACAAGCTACGTCAACTAGCCCCAATATTCGCGAAAGTCTCACTAAATGTTTTGCTGTGTACGATGGCTAAACCGAAATGCAATTAAATTGCATATTTCTTCAATTAAATTAGCATATTCGCAGAGCGTAAGTATATATCGCTTAGGTTTATACACATTTAGGCGTAGTAGCACAATCGTACTTCTGAACAAATATATTAAAATACTATTATATGTGAATTGATAGTTCATACCTTACATGGCGATCCTGCGACCACCGAACCAAATACCATAGAATTTTCTAAAATTATGTTAGACAGCAAAATCAAAAACAAGGGCACAAGCTTACAAAGAAATCATAAAAAAAAAAATAAATAAATGAACAAAATATAAAAATTAAGTTTATGCAATACAATGGGAAGACTGCAATCAACTATTAAAAAGCAGGATCCCAATATATTTAATGAAGTTGTAGTAGATGAACAACATAATCAAAACTTCATAATCAATAAAAACTATAATAATCGTTGATTTTGATATTAAGATACATATTATACAAAGAAAATATTTGAAAAAACATTGTCTTAAATATATAAGTTTAAAAAAAAACACGGAATTATCGGAAAAAATTGCGATCACTTAACTATATAGAAAGAAAATTTTAGTAAAAGCTATAAATGCGTTAAGCCTCAAAAGTCAAACAGGAAACGCTAGCAAAACCAAATCCAAAGCCAATCAGAAATATAGTGCGGTGATTCGCAAACAGAAGATTGGGTCATTTCAGTTAGACAATTGCTTCTAACGAAATTCTGATACGTCTCGTGGGAAAAGAAACGTATTGTTGATAGAAACCTAAAAAAAACGGCAACGATTTCTTTTGGCCAAAAAATTTTGATTCAAAAATTACATATGCAAATTCCTTTATAAGCTCTAAAAAAAATTTGTTTGGTTGAAGCGAAAATACTGAATGATAAATTAAAATGGTAACTTTTTCTCGCAATCTTCTGAACATGCGCCTTCTTGCCCTTCTTTTTCCATCTTTAATTAATTCTAGACGTAAAATATCTCTTATGTATAATGTTTTTATTTTTTTCAGAAATTACAATGCAAAATCGAACAGCTGATTTTTTGTTCGCTGGCTACAAAATTTACAGGGTGACAGTGAATTCAGAATGCGAAATAGTAACAAAATTTTTTGAATGGTAAATTTAAATACCAAAGTAAATTTTATTACCTCGACAGAATAGGCTTGTTAGAAGTAATTACAAGACCGTCAATATTTATAAGAATAATCGAACTAACTTTAGACCCCCAAGCATTCATAACAACTACCGAAATAATAACAATACATTCAAAGACAATAGCGGACATAAAAATATTTATGGACAAAGGCCCAACAATTTCAATCCAACCAACAACAGAAATAGCTAGACCGACAACCACGACAATAACAGGCACAAAGAAAACAAGCAAGGACAATAGAAAAGAAAATAATAGAAATGGTCGCCAAATACATGTTATGCAAAATCAAAAAACGAAGACGACCTGTAGGACAACAACAAAATATACATTATAGCAAAGAACCTAACAAATTTTGTCACAATTTTTAACCAAAATTTAAATAAACTAAATCATTTCATGACATTTCCAAATGCAAAAATTCATCTGACATTGAATTCGACTATGACAAATTCAAACTAACAGGCATCGCTAAAGAACAAATAATTTCAATTGGCACAGCTAAACTAAATTTCGAGTAGTAAAATACAACGCTGACAATAATTTTCGCTTAATATTAGAAGACTCTCCCACCGTAACTAATGACATTTTACATT